TGCCTCAAAGCAGCCTATTTATTTCGAGTGGGCAGCAAAAACACAAACCCAGAAAGATGATTTGATGTGTACCGTTTTTGTAAATGCAGCACTCCACAATCCACGTCTTGTGTGTAGTAGTGTGCTGCTGTGTGATACTGGACACCTACTGTACTTGGTGACTGATGGCTTTTCTCCACATTACTGCAGCTCAGAGGAGTGAAGGTAACCCTAAAGTAATTTAAAGCCTTAACCGACCAATTACATGTGATCGTTTTCTGTTCAGTTTATCTAAATAATTCAAATTTCCTGATAAATATATTTTTTTTTTTAAGGTCATGTGACCTTAAATGTTCTCCTGCAGATCGTTTTTTACACGTTTCTGGGCGTGTAATTGAAACCCTGTGTTTCCAAGGCAATTCAACTGCAGTTCCTAGCTGAACTGCCTCTAAAACAAATAACTGCACATACGCAGCAGACGTGCCCAACAAGCAAGATGGATTATGAATGCAAAAAGCACTGGATGCTTTGGACTCTGTGCGGTTTGCATGCGCAGCAATTGTTTAGCACTGGTGTAGCTGTAACTATGTAGCAGGCAGCGTTCAGTTGCCTTGAGTACTGGTTTACACTGATGCAGTGCCGGGAAACCACATGTGATATGGACAGGAATCGCACCGCATTCCTGTTCAAATCACATGTGATTCTTTGTAGTGCGATTTGAACCCATTCATTTTGTATGGCATTTTGCAACCTGTTTTTGGGGTGTAACCTTGACAGCCGCATTGTTTTGCATGAACGGAGTGCGATTGTGATGCAGTGCGGGAAACACACAGGAATCGCTACAAATCCTACACCGCATTAGTGTGAACCAGCACTGAAAACACGCTTTATTTCCGGCAGTATCTTGATTCACAGCGTTACAAACTGAAGGGGAATTGTGGTGCAGCTTCCAGGTACTGACAATGCTTAGGGAGTCAGTCATTTGAATTAAGGGGTTGTTGGGGGAAACAGCAGGATCGCCAGATAATTTATTTATAATACCGTCGGCTAAAATAAAGCGTATTATGATTGGGCTTCTACTATGGGAATCTTGTAAAAAATTCATTTTTTCCTGGAGTGACACTTTTTTTGATGGAAGCGAGTCTTTTGATAACGATTGGTAAAAGATTTGCATATTTAGTAAAAAGATTTACAAAGATATTTTTTTTTTCATGAAATCCCCCCTCTGCGTTTTCCAGTCAAAGTAAGCGTCTTTTTTTTTCATGTCTTCACTGACATTAATGTAATTGGCCTTGTTAACACAAGGAGGCAATTCTTTCTCATCTTCACCCTGTCTGGCATTGAGCATTCATTCAGTGTAAATATTTTCAAGGCATTGCAGGCTAGGGACAGACCCCTGTGGTTTTTCACTTGATAGAAGTTACAGAAATAGCAAGAGCAGCCAGGTGCTTGGAAAGTACCAATTACTGTTTATCTACTTGTAACTTTAGCTTTTAAGTTTTGTAGTGTGTTTGCATTTCACGATTTGCCTCTGAATAGTTTCCGTCACAAAAACATTTCCAATAGTAAAGCAGTGGGTTTCCTTTACCAACATGGTACAAAGAGTGAAGGCAATGAGCTTCATTTTAAGTGATTCTAAAGGCAATAAAAAACAAAAAACAAACATGTTATGCTTATCTGCTCTGTGAAATGGTCTTGTACAGAGCAGCCCCAATCCTCTTCTTCTGTGGTGCACCACAAGTGCTACTGGCTCCTTCCCTTAGCCGAGTGTGCCTCCATAGCCAGCCACTTGCTCTGGGGGCACTTATGCAGGCTCGTTCCTGAGCTGGCTTTGTGTGTCCATTGACACAGAGTGTGGCTTGGCCTCTCCCCCTGCTCCCTTGCTGCCTATTGCAGCTTAAGGAGGGGGGAACGAGGGGGCTTTTGGCGGCTGGAAAAAAAGGTGGCTCAGCTGCACATTTTTGCTGTCCCCCCAACTGTAAGTCTAAAGGAGGCCTAAAAGCTTCAAAAAAGCTTGGCCATATCACCTGCCATTTTCGACAACCTCTTCCCAAAATTTTATTTTCCATCCATTATAATGAATGAGGCTTTTGCTTGCTTCAGAGTTTCAAAACAATTGAAGTGAAGATCACATTTCAGGGGTTTGAACCGCATCCAATCTGCATGACATGTGAAAAAACATTGCTTCCTATGATGCCTGTTCACATATGTCCAGTACACAGGCGGTGCGGATTCAGTGCAGTTTTCAGTGCAGTTTTAAAGAGTTGTGTGTCCAATTTCTGAGCAGTGCGGTCTGGTTCAGGTGCAGATTACAGGCTATTGACTTCTATGGGAACCATTTCTACACCGCATATGTGTGAACAGGAAAATGACCTGAGCTGATCCTGTGCTTAATCTGACATAAACCTGTGAACAACTACTGTATCAAGAACAACTACCGTATCAATTAGCTGTGAAATCTGAACTTCAACCTGCACCGCACATGTATGAATCTGCTGTAAAGATGGTTGCGCCCGGGAGCCATGATAGTTCTTCGCTGGAGGGCTCCATGTACAGGTAAGTCTGTCCTAATGTACTACTATGCAGTGCAAACTAGTACATTATGACTTAAACCTCCAGGTGCCCAAATTTTTTTTTTTTTTTTTTTTGTGTGGCGGTTTACACAGCAGTGATATGGCCACAGTAAAGCTGTACTGTTACTTTATAAACTGGCTCCTTACCTAGGTAAGAGACTTTTTTTTTTTTTTTTTTTTTTTTTTTTATAGGAACTTTAATGATTTTAAAATATATTTCGAACCTTAAGAATTTAGCCAAAGATTTGTTTCTGTACAGCTTTAGTTACATTACTTATCTGTAATGAAGTAGATCCTGTGATGGTCAGGCTGCTGGGTTCTGTAGAAATCCTCGCTGCAGAATTGCCCTGTTCTCTTCCTGCTGCTGACCGTCTGATTCTGTGGGGGTTGATATTTTCGGGTTACCGGGGTCAGCTGCACTAAAGATGATGCAATGGGGACACGTCCCTCCTGCCCTCTTCTCCATTGAGAATAGTTTCTTCACTGTTTGCACTGCATGCAACATTCTCTATGAGCAGGCGAGAGTCTGAGTTACAGCATTCTCTTCTCCATTCACAGATCATATTACAAGCAGTGTATTCAGTAAAATACATTTTCTCAAGGATGGAGAGGGCAGGAGTTGGTGTGTCCCCATCAAATCATCTTTAACCTTTGGGAACATGTTAACGTTCCACCCATTTTTAGGGTGGAAGACCCTAAGACAGAGTTCTGTGAATGAAGGAACTACAAGTCCTGAAAGCCTTAGCGGCATTGTGGAGCACCATGATAATTGATTGATTCTTCCTGTCAGTATATCTGCTTGCCTGTACATCCCACAGATATACTGACAGGTCTGCAGGAGACCTGCATGGCACCAGCGATCTGCTGATCACTGGTGCAATGCTTTACAGGCTCCTGCAACAAAAAATAATAAATGCACATTTTTTTCAATTGCAAAAAAGTGCATTACATTTTTTTTTTTTTTTTGTCAAAAAATATATTCTTTTAATGCAGCTGAGCCCAGAGACCTAAAGCTAGTAACCCCAACAGAGCCAGAGGTTCAGCAGCAGGAAGAGGACAGGGCAGCCCTGCAGTTAGGATATCTACAGAAGCAGAAGTCTACACATCGTGGGACATGCATAATTACAAGTTATGGAATTAAATCTGTAGGGGAAAAAAACATTTTTTAACTTCAGTTTTAAACTCCAATGCAAGAAAAATAAATTAAGCACATTTCTTCATGACTTTCATCTTAAATATTCATTAGACATGCATCCTAGTCAGTTGCAGACATTGATCACATTTATTATATAAGAGATGGTACTGCTCATTCGTTGCTACTAGACTACTCCTATTTATGTGGTCAACTAAATTGATGCTTCATGTGCATTTTGGTCTTGAATTGGGCTAAACATATGACTCAAAAATAGAATTTGTTTTCTAAAAATGTAAAAAAAAACTTCAGCACGTCGACACAATTTTCTCTAGATACTTAATTGGAGCATGTTTTTGTTGCCGAGGGAAAGTTTGTAGTGTAATGATGCCCCTAGTGGTTGCCTTAAGTTATTATATTTTCCTGTGATCATTTAAAGGTGTCATTTCTGTTTGATTCTATTGTATTGCATTGTCATTGAGCTATATCTCATCATTTTATTCATATATATTGTTTAAAATGCAGGTTTGCAGTTGGATTAGTTGACAAATGTGATGTAAGCATTGTACTTTCAGACATCGAGAGAGATTAAAATTTGGTATCAAACAGGAGACAGCAGCAGAAAGCTGCTTTGCTGGTTATCCTCCTTCTTAGAGTAATGGTAAAAAAAAGAAGGTACAGGCAGTGGTGTATTTAGGTTTTGTGCTGCCCTAGGCAACACAAACATCGTTTGCCCCCACGGACACTGACCAACACAAGAGCCTGGCATTGACCAACAAAACCCCTGCCCCCCACCCAGAAGAGCCTTCCACTACCCCCCCCCCCCCAGTGATATCTCATCTTCACAGCTCTGGACATCTCAGGAACAACAGTCAGGCTCTACATACACCATCAAGCAGTCTCTCTTGGATCCCACTTGGTTCCCACAGTGCACGTGTCTGTCCCTTCTTGCATTCCTTTTTCTGGGGGGAGGTGCTGCCCCCTTTAAAAATGCCGCCCTAGGCAAGTGCCTTGTGGTAAATACTCCCCTGGGTACAGGTGGAGGATACAAGTATAGGCATTCGGAAGGACTGGGTTTATTAGAGATGAGCAGCAAAGGGAAGGTGCTGGAAGTGGAGGGATGTACAGTATAAACAGGCAAATGCATAGTGGTGCTAGGACGAGATGTCGGTGATAACAGAGTTTGTTGACTTTAAGCATGCCTAACATGAAGCAGGGGGTCTATAATCTTCTGTGTAGTAATTGGCAACCTGTGACTTCCAGCCTAAGAGGTAATGATACAGTTTCCTTTTTTTCTTTTTTTTCTCTCCTGTTTAGTATGATGCTATGCCTATTCAGTCCAACGTGGTTATGTGCTCCTGCCCATCTCCTTCATTAGTGATTAACCCTGACTCCAGCTCTCCTGCAACCCTAGCAAGCTGCAGCAGCCAAGCAGGTTCCACCAGTGATTCGAAAGCCACAGACTTCAGGCCCAGTTCAGAGACAGAGCAGAACACCGGGCAACAGCAAACGCAACAGCCTCGAAAGAAACGTCCGCAAGACTTTAAGTTTGGCAAAATCCTTGGTGAAGGGTCCTTCTCAACCGTAAGTTCACCATTGCTGGCAGTTGGAGTACTTTGATTCCTACAAACTTTAATAATGAATTGCAAATACGATCAGTGTCTAGTTAGCCATGGCAACAAAACAAGATGTCATTTAGGCCCCTTTCACACGGGGTGGACCCAATGGGGATCTGCTGGCTCAGTGGGGCATCTGTCTGCTAATTCCTGCTGAACAAACAGAAGACAGGTCCGTGTCCGCTCTGCTTATGCAGACACTGACACAATCCGCTGTCATCTATGGGCAGTTGGATGGAAGTGGACCACCTGTCCTTTTTCCATCCGACTGCCATCTGATCTGCCGGCCGGAAAGGGAACAAAAAGGATAATAGTGATTTTGATTGGGTCCGCCTGAAAAACGGGAAGGCAGTCCCAATTGGAATGGCCCTGTGAAAGGGGCCTTAGCTTTCAAAAGCTGATATCTTACTGGCTGCTATGGCTTCCAGGTGCTCTTTTCATGATTTATATAAAAGAGACTTGTTACATTTCTGCTGAATTAATGACTGAATCAATTGAAGCTGACCTTTCACTCCCAAACCTAAGGGTCGCAAATGCATGTAGCTCTACAGGCTGCTGAATTTTAATTTTCATATTTTATTTTTCTCACTTTCAGCAAAGAAGCACACAAAATAGGCAAATTTCTGAGGTTTCTAGCACTTCTTGACTAAAGCCTTGTACACATGAGCCGAAATCAGCCTGTTCTCACGACCGGCTTCTGCCGTATGGGCATGCTGGAAAACCAGCATCTGATCAGTGTATTCTGGTGGAGGGGGCATCCCCACTGTCAGAACACACAGGCACAGCGAGGGAGATCGCCACACTATCATCACTTGTGTTAGTACAGCAATCTCTCAGTTTTTTACATTCAGCCCGATGGATTGAACGGAAGAAGAAAAACTTCTAGTGTGCGCCCAGCTTTAGACCAGAATTGGCCTTAATGCCTTCCACTATTTATTATTTGTGTGTGAATCCTGTGAAAATCCTCTTCTATCTATCCCCAGTGTACAATGAAGAGAGATATATCTAATTAAAGACTATTGTTTTTTGACTGAACAGTCCGAGCTCTCTACCGATTACGAGGGTGGAGTCTGACCCCCCCCCCCCCTTTCAGGGGCGGACTGACCATTCGGGTACTTGGGCACTGCCTGAGGGCCCTGGTTCAGTAGGGGGCCCCATGAGATGCCCCTGAATTGGCCTTAATGCCTTCCACTCTTTATTATTTGTGTGTGTAGCTGTAGCAGTCCTGTGTGAATCCTGTGAAAATCCTCTTCTATCTATCCCCAGTGTACAATGAAGAGAGATATATCTAATTAAAGACTATTGTTTTATAACTGAACAGTCCGAGCTCTCTACCGATTACGAGGGTGGAGTCTGACCCCCCCCCCCCCCCCCCAGGGGCGGACTGACCATTTGGGTACTCGGGCACTGCCCGAGGGCCCTGGGTCAGTAGGGGGCCCCATGAGATGCCCCTGGTACCTTTTCATAGGCTTTTTTGGGTGTGATTTGAGTGTGGGTGAGGACACGGGCCCCATGATCCCCTATTGCCCGGGGGGCCCCATAAGTTGTCCGCCCCTGGACCCCCCCTTGTTCTGTTCATGCAGCTACCTCCTTGTGCCTGTGTTTTATTCATATTGACAGTCTAGCAGTTTTTTTTTTTTTAAACAGATGTACTTTCATACATGTTTTGTACAAAAATGTTAAATGAGCTGCAATGCAAAGATGTTTGCTAGCTTAAGCTTGTTCTGTGCTGCTATGAATAATCCTGTTTTGGTGCAGAGAACAAGCAGAGGCTCTAATGTAGAAGATGTTTTGGTACTTTATTCATGTCTTTGTATCAGCATGAACCTTCTGTGGTGAAAGGTTTAGCCACAATTCTGGCATTCATACACAAGGGTCATTCTGTTAATGGTATTAAACCCAAAAGAAAACATTTATTACATTGCAGATTCACAATAGACAAGCACATATTGATCTCTACAGTTGAGATCAAATCATTTGGTAAGAGGCCATGTAGTGTATGTGTGGTGAAGGATAATACACTGACACCGTTGTTTTTTGGATTGATTTTCATCACAGCACTTGTGTAGACTTACTTTAATCACTTTCATAATATGGACTTTTGTTTATCTGTTGTACATAAATGCAGAATTTCTATTTTGCTTCACATTTGTTTGTTTTGGACTGTTATGATTGATTTCATATTATCACTATATATTTATTTATTTCAGGTACTTATATAGCGCCATCAATTTACGCAGCGCTTTACATATATATATTTTGTACATTCACATCAGTCCCTAACCCTCAAAGGGTGTACAATCTAAGGTCCCTAACTCACATTCATACATACACATACTAGGGCCAATTTAGACAGGAGCCAGTTCACCTACCAGCATGTCTTTGGAGTGTGGGAGGAAACCGAAGTACCCGGAGGAACCCCACGCAGGCACAGGGAGAACATGCAAACTCCAGGCAGGAGGTGCTGTGGCTGGGATTCGAACCAATGACCCTAGTACTGCCAGGCGGAAGTGCTAACCATTTAGCCACTGTGCTGGCCAATATATGTACTTGATGTTTTTGGAGTAGCACACCATAAATTTGTGGTAAATTGTTTGGCAGTGTTCAGGCTATTTTTGGTCACAGCTCTCCGTTTTATAATATTAATTTTATTTCACGAAGCGCAGGGTATTCCGCAAAGGTTTGGTTTTACATTGCAGCTTACTAGTTTTTAGATGTGATGGCTGTATTAGCTTTCTATTTTAGGCTTTTGTTATTTTATTTTCACCTGGTGATCCAGCTAGTAAGTCTAGATATAGCAGTTAGGGTCGAGACAATTTATTTACCACTGACAGGAGTGCTTACAATGATCAGCTTTTATTTATGTGTTATCTTTATCCCAAAAGGAACAAAACTTTTCCTGTAACTGCTTAAAAAGTGATGTGGAGTTTGGCTTAAATTTTTTTTTTAGTGTTTCTAAATCTGCTAGTACATTTAACACCAACCTCTTCCCAGACTGACAATTCTGCTGTCTAAAGGTGTCTCTGTTGCTCCTTCACCCAGAGGGTAGGCATTCCAATACAGGAGTTATGTTACTGACCATATTACCAGGTGAAAACGGGGGAGAAAAGCCAAAAAAAAGAGAACTAATGCAGCCATCACATTTAATGATTGATAACCTGCAATACATTAGATTTTTGGTGGTAACTTTAATTTCTGTGTTTTTTGACTGTTCTTGTGAAAGCGTAATGCTAATAATGTCCTTTTATAAACCAGTAAAACAACTTTTTTACTTTGTAGGTTGTTTTGGCTAAAGAGGTAACAACAGGAAGAGAGTTTGCCAGTAAGTTTGTTTTTTGTTTTTTCTTCCTCACAATGTTTAAAGTGGAACTCCAGGAAAGTAAAACGGTTTTTAAACTTTGTCTTGATAACAACTATGTCTAATGCTGTTTTATATTGCGGCTAGATGGCCGCTGGGTATGGTTAAAATCCTAGTTTTATTCATGCCAGATACAGCTGTCTGCTGTGGTCTTTGTGCAACTGATAGTTACGGCAAATTATACTGCGGAGGATCATGTTATTCATTCTCCCTTTTCTCTCCCCTTGTCCATTCATAGACTATCTTGTAGTCTGCTTGGGAAAAATATGAGGTGTTTTGTGAATGGACAAGGGGAGAGGAGGGAAAGGTAAATGACAGAATGTTTCTTATTCTTTGTGTGTTATTTTTCTTAATCTCTGTTTGTCTCTTTATTAGTTAAAATTCTACAGAAACGTCATATTGTGAAGGAGAATAAGGTACCTTATGTGACGAGGGAAAGAGATGTGATGTCACGTCTGGACCACCCGTTCTTCGTCAAACTCTACTTCACATTTCAAGATGTTGATAAACTGTGTATCCTTATCAGCGTGCTTTTGTGAAATGGGTGGGAATCTGTTTCCAGAATATGCTAGATTTACCAGCAAATTATGTACACTATATTGCCAAGAGTATTAGGACAGCCCTCCAAATCATTAGATTTAGGTGTTCCAATCACCTCCATGGCCACAGGTGTATAAAATCAAGCATCTAGGCATGCAGACTGCTTCTACAAACATTTGTGAAAGAATGGGTCGCTCTCAGGAGCTAATTTAAGCATGGTACCGTGACAGGTTGCCACCTGTGCAATAAGTCCATCTGTGAAATTTCCTCGCTACTAAATATTCCACGTCAACTGTTAGTGGTATTGTAACAAAGTGGAAGCAACTGGAAACAACAGCAACTCAGCCACAAAGTGGTAGGCCACATAAAATGACAGAGCGGGGTCAGAGCATGATGAAGCGCACAGCGCGCCGAAGTTGGCAACAGTCTGCAGAGTCAATAGCTAAAGACCTCCAAACTTCATGTGGCCTTCAGATTAGCACAACAGTGCATATAGAGCTTCATGGAATGAGTTTCCATGGCAGAGCAGCTGCATCCACAGGTACAATGTAAAGCGTCGGATGCAGTGGTGTAAAGCACGCCGCCCTGGACTCTAGAGCAGCGGAGATTTGTTCTCTGGAGTGACGAATCATGCTTCTCTGTCTGGCAATCTGATGGACTTGCCTGTGTTTGGCGGTTGCCAGGAGAACAGTACTTGCCTGACTACATTGTGCCAAGTGTAAATTTTGGTGGAGGGAGGATTATGGTGCGGGGTTGTTTTACAGGGGTTGGGCTTGGCCCCTTAGTCTCGGTGAAGGGAACTCCTTAAGGTGTCTGCATACCAAGACATTTTGGACAACTTCATGCTCCCAACTTTGTGTTAAAAATTTTGGGGATGGCCCCTTCCTGTTCCAACATGATTGCGCACCAGTGCACAAAGAAATGTCCATAGAGACATGGATGAGCAGGTTTGGGGTGGAGGAACTTGACTGGCCTGCAAAGAATTCTGACCTCAACCCGATAGAACACCTTTGGGATGAATTAGAGCGAAGACTGCGAGCCAGGCCTTCTCTTCTGACATCAGTGCCTGACCTCACAAATGTGCTTCTGGAAGAATGGTCAAACCTTCCCATAGACACACTCCTAAACCTTGTGGACAACCTTCCCAGAAGAGTTGAAGCTGTTATAGCTGCAAAGGGTGAACCAACTCAACATTGAACCCTACGGACTAAGACTGGGATGCTATTAAAGTTCATGTGTGTGTAAAGGCAGGAGTCCCAATACGTTTGGCAATATTTTGTATTTATAGCTGAACTCCATGTTTCTCCACATTGTCATTCTACAGTCTGTACCCTATTTTGACCGTTTGTGAAAGCCATAAGAAGGTAATTTCTAAAAGTTGCTCTAAATACTTCCTGACCGGCTATTGTAGTAAAACCACTGGTTACCAAAGCGGTTACTCTGAACGAGCGTTCTGTTTACACTATGTGCACTCGCTGTCATTAGCATAGGTTACAGGCAAAATCACAAGAACCAAGTAGAGTGGTTTTATACCTGTGATTACACACAAGCCAGCCTTCGTCTTACAACAGCAAGGAGAGGAAAGAAGATTGCAGCAAGTTTATTTACTGTGTTTATGTACCAGCACTGCCACTAACCACTGATTGGATGTTGGGGTAGGACATTTCTTACACTGATCACCAATGATTTGGGATAGGGGTTGTTTATTAGCACTAATCACAAGTGATTAGAAGGGAAGGTACTGTAGTTTTACGGTCACTGATCACCAGTGTTTGGGCGTGAGAGGAAATTTTATTGCCATTCATACTTATAATGCTTTCAGGGAGATTCAAGTGATACTTTAAGTCTTGGTTTTTTTTTTCTATTTTTCTTAAAATGAACAAACATGTTTTACAGAGCAGGCCGGATCCTCCTCTTCTCGGGTTCCCCGCTGGCGATCCTGTCTTCTCCCTCCTGTCGGGTGCCCCCACAGCAAGCAGCATGCTGTGGGGGCACCCGAGCAGGTACGCTCCTGAGCAACTGCTTTGCATGTCCGTTCACATAACCGCGGCTCGGCCCTGCCACCTCCCTCTCCTGATTTGGCTCACTGGCTGTGATTGACCTCAGCCAATCAGGAGCTAGAGTCCCCAGAGAACCAAGGCTCTCATGGACATTGCTCAATCGGGATGTGCCTAAGGTCATTCTACACACAGAAGGTTAGAATGCATGAAGGTAAAAAAAACCTGCAGCCTTTAGAACCACTTGCAGCATAACATACATATGTTCCCTTTTTGCCTAAATGTCTCTGACCAGCCATATTTGTAAACCTTTCTTCTGAACAGGTTGTTTAAAACATCCGCAGCAGATTCCCCAAACGTTAGTCCAAGTATACCCCCCCCCCCCCCCCACACCACACCACACCACTTTTTCCACAGACTTCTGGGACACGTCAGAGTCCCAAAAAGCTGTGGGACCATTCAGAAAATGCAGTGCAGCTCGCACATGCACAGTTGGTGCCCAGCTGTGAGGCTGCAAGGTGTCACAGCTGACTGCCCATATTTAATGTGCGGTGCCAGGGATCGAAGGCTGGTGAAGAGAGCGGCTCGTCTGAGGACAGCACTAGATCCTAGGACAGAAATACGCTAATGTCTTATGGTTCATTCGTTTTCCATACGAGTCTAGAGGGACAAAAATGCTCAAATCTGCCTGAAAGGAAATGCATGTACTTTTTTGAGCGAACAGCGTTTTCCTATAAGCAACAAAACTTTCAAATGTAAATGGGCCATTGAAATGAATAGGATTTTCCTTGTTGAGCATTTCTGAGTTTCTAACTTTGCTGAAAAGCGATCAAGTGTGAACGGGGCCTAAAAATCAGCAGCTACAGGATCCCAGGCTGATGCTCCTCTTTAGCATGCTGGTATTGAGGTGAATAAAGTAACCCTCAAAGTGTGTCTGGAACGCATAAATATCAAATGAAGCTGGAACAGGTGAGGATTGCATAGAACACACCATTCAGGGCATTTCGTATTACATGTCAAGCAAGGTACTAAGATGCAAAGTTGGCTTGCATCAGGCCAGAAGGGGTTTGCTGCTACACTTAACTCGTGTAAAGAGGCATGGCAGACATCAGGTTACCCCATGGATGCTCCTAAAGTAAGGATGTTCTCCAGTACCATGGAGAGTTGATTTAGCTAGGAGTGGTACTGTAGCTGCTTTTCATACCAGGGCCTCATTTCCCCATGTCTGTGTTGTCCATGGCCACCAATAACTTTTAAATGTCAAGTTGAAGGTTGTAAAATGAAGGGGAGCATGGATTTGATGGCTGTAGTCAGCAGCCACTTTCTAATGTTTCTTGGACATTAATTAGGGTCCAGTGTGTGTTTTGTTTTTTTTTGTTTGTTTTGTTAGTTTTTTATTTTGAACAGTAGCTTTTAGTGTTTAAAAAAAAACACACAAAAAAAAACCCCCGTTGTACATATGGTTTCTTAACAAGTGGTGCAGATTTTGGCCTCAGTTACGCTAAGAATGGTGAACTACTGAAATACATAAGGAAGATTGGCTCATTCGATGAAACATGCACAAGGTTTTACACTGCTGAAATTGTGTGCGCTTTAGAATATTTACATGATAAGGGAATTATTCACAGGTGAGAAAGTCATGTTAATTACAGTTACAGATTTATATAGGATGTTAAAATTGTTTTGGAGTATTTTGTGCTTCTCCATCTTCAGAAGAAGTGACTGCTGATGGATCTTTTTCTCATAAAACCTTTAAACATAAAGTACAAGTATGTTTGTATGAAATAGATTTTAGTAATACAGATTAAAATGTTAGAGGTCCCCTAAGGATATGGCATCTGAAGATATTTAAAGTTAAAGATAGCATAGTGGTAGTCATTTCAAATAAGCAGCTGAATTCCTGTTCAGTAATCTCCATGAAAACAAAAATACCAAGCGTCAATAAAGCAAACGCAACAGGTTTTTAAACATATACAAGTCCAACCTCCAAGCAGGCGCAAGCAGATACCTTTTATTACATAGAAAATAATTTTCATTGTGCCAGTCTGAAGCTAGTTTCATATATTTATTACTGCTGCTTAAGGTGGAGAGACTCCCAATATCCAAGCACAACTCCTCCTGTAGGTGCTAGCCCAGCCTGTGCGCTGGATAGAATATTATTATTATTATACAGGATTTATACAGCGCCAACAGTTTGCGCAGCGCTTTACAATATAAATATGAGAACAAAGGACGTCTGATCGGCTGCACTCTAAACAATCCACTTTATTGAACCAAGATAAAACCAATACAGACAGTGGAAATACAGTGCGGGACTGACAAGGTAAAAATAATCAAAAAAGATCCGCACCAGATAAACACATATAGTCAAATAACCGTATATATTCAAAAAGCTGGTAAAACATAATCACATCAGAGAGGGAGGGGGCCATTCAATGAGAGAGGGAGGGGGAATTCAAAATTCAAACCATTAGGAATACGTATGCACAATAAAAAATTCAAAAGACTTCACGTTTGCAATCTAAAGTCATCTCCACCTCTAGGAGACCTGTCCACCCTCTCAATGCCCTGTATGCTCAAAGTAGCACTAAGGTCACCTCCATGAGCACTGCTAAAATGATTAGTGACATTAGTAGAATGATTCTTTTGTATGTCATAAACATGATCATGGAGGCGATCTCAAAGCCTCCTAGTCATCCTACCAACATATTGTACTTGGCAACTTCTACAGGTGATCAAATATATTAGATGCTTAGTATTGCAGTTTATGAAGTTCTTGATCCTGTAAACCTTGCTACTAACCGTGGATCTAAATTCCTCCCCTTTCTTAATACACGATCAACAGGGAGAGCTGTCTATACCACACCTATAGTTACCCTTAAAACTCAGCCATGTTCTCTGAGTTGTTCTAGAGGAGAAATTGCTAGAGGACAGAGTATTGCCCAAAGTTGGTGCACGTCAGGAAACAATTTTAGTACCGTGGGACAATATTTGTGCAAATATATCATCACTCAGAAGTATGGGAGGATCGCGCTCAATGATCCTTTTAATTCTCCCAAACTCTAGGCTGAAAGCAGCGGAGAAAACTGGTGGTCCCTGCCTGGAACTACACCTCTCCTTTGTTCTTAATAAGTTGTTCCTGTCAGAATTGTTAGCTATACCCACAGCACGATCTATCATGCGCACCGGATAACTTCTCTGTAAAAAGCAATCCCTCATTCGTGTCACCTCTCTATTGCAGCCGATCGGACATCCTTTTTTTCTCAACTGAAGCTAGTTTCACTTTTATTGGGCATGATTTAAAGCTGAACTCTGGGGACAAGCATTTTTATTCCCCAATAGTCACAAAGGATATAAAACCAGTTTGTGTACAACAAATCCCTATACAAACCCAGATGTCACCTTGTGAAAGTATCAATGACATCATCACTGTGCTGAACATAGCCTGTGCAGAGAGAACTGTGGAATGGGCCGAGCAGGTCCATCCCCACCACAGACTGCCTTCAAAAAAGGAAGGGTGGGTACAAGACCATTTATACTACACAAGGAGAACAGCAGTGAGCGGTCTTTATTACAGGAGGCTCCTCCACAGATGTAGAGTTTCCTGTTGGATTACTGCACAGATCTGGAGGCTTTACATAAATGACACCAGGATTCAAGTAAGAATATACACGCCTCTTGGTGAATTATTTTCAGTGATGCACATAAAAGAGGGGCTAATAACTTTATAGCAGATGTACATAGGAGGGCAGCTGATGTCATGCAGTTGCTACCATTGTTCACATGCAGTGACTGATATTATCTGTGCTTTTAATTTGTTTCAGAGACTTAAAACCGGAAAACATATTACTTAGTGAAGACATGCATATTCAAATTACAGACTTTGGGACAGCAAAGGTCTTATCGTCTGACACCAGGCAAGGTAGGGTTTCATGTTTTCATCTTGTTATAAATATTGCTTTTTATTATTATTTGTTTATTTTAAACACTCTTCCATCAATACTATACTGTGGTATAGTTTACAGAATTTATTTTATGGAGACTTAGCACAGAATAAACATATTGTGATTTGAAAGTGAAATTCCACCAGGCATTTAACTGAATAATTAATCTATAGATCTGTGACTAATGAGAACTCTATACAGGAATCAATGCACTGGCAGAAATTCTGATTTATCTTTATATTATGAGTGCTATCCGTTAACACATACAGCTTCCCAATCTTAAAGTTGAACTTCACTCTCTCAATCAATATTGACTATTTCTAACCCTTTTGCATTCGTAAATAGATAGGAAAGTTTATCATATTTATTTGGGAATAGCTTGCTTTGAATATTAAAAATGAATTATACAGTGTCTTTGGATTGTGGCACTCAGATGCAGTGTAGTTACATTTTAAGAGCTACAGATGGCATGCTTGGAACCTGGATACAGAGGTTTTGAAATAGAGAAATAATGCTGGTGTGGATTATACAGCCTGCTTATAAAGTGGTTTCAAATCCTAAATGAAAAATGTAATAAGTTACAGCTTACCAATCCCTAAGGGCTGGTTTACGCTATAGAAACGCGTTCCAGATGCATTTCCACATGCATGTTTTTAGCGTGTTCCAGTGCGTTTTTGATGCATTCTAGTTCATTTTTTTCCACCCTCCTTTTCTTCAATTTAAATAGAGACATGCGGTTTTGGTGCGTTCCAGTGTGTTTTTGATGCGTTTTACCGTGTTCCAGTACAGTTCTGTGTGGGAAAAATGTAGCCTGTTCTACTACTTTTTTTTTTTTTTTTTCTTTCTTTCTACAACTGGAACGCACTGGAACTGCAAGCACTGATGTGAACTATCCCCCTCCCTCCTAGATTGTAAGCTCGAAAGTGTAGGGCCCTCTTACCCCTCGTACGTTGTTTGTTATTGTTGTACTGTGCCATGTATTGTCCCCCCTATATTGTACAGCGCTGAGCAAACCCTTTGGCGCTATATAAACTCGATGTAGTAATAATAATAATAACTATGACATTGCCAACCATATAACCTACTTTCTGTGCGTTTTGGATGCAGAAAAAAAGCACGTAGTGTTAACTGGCCCTGGCTGCCATTTTTTTTTTTTCAGAGACATCTTTGGACAGGACAGAAGCATTTTCAGCCAGGGGAGAGAGTAGATGTTAAATGTGCTAGCAGATTTAGATGAAGTTGATGAATAAAATAAAGCCAAACTCCAACTAACGCTTTTAAATGAATCTGTTACTGTTCAGCTTCCTAGCTGTCTGGCATAAGTTGCATTGGCAGAGGATTGAGTTAAACCATTTAACACTGATGGGAGTGCTTACTATAGCTAGCTTTTTTTCCATATATGTCTCTGTTGCTGCCCCAGTGCAGTGGAGACACTCTAATACATTAAGTGTGTTACTGGATGAATCACCAGGTGAGAATTAGAGGGGGAAAAGAACTTAAAGGGTAACTCCACTTTCGTGGGGGGAAAAAAAAAATTGCAAATAACCAACTGGGACACAAGTCACATTGTAATTGAATGTTATTAAAATTTCCTTTTTAATCTGCAGTGCTATAATATTCTGTAAAATGCAATATGGCTACCTGGAGGTGTTCTGTACACAGAATATGTACAGAACGCCCCCAAGAAATATTATTTCCTGTTTGTGTGATTGGCTTACTTATATTACCAGAAGTCTGCATTAAGATACAAATCAGATTTCAGGCATCCCCTGCCCTGTCATTTTGGTGAGATACTCCCAATAGGAAATCACATCCAAAGGGTCCTGCCACTTTCCTTTATTAGAGTCCTGCAGGGGCAGCAGCTGATTGATCTGATTGATAATTATGAAACCACTCCTATACAGATTCAATTTGCACATGGAGACAAACTTATGCAGGCCATAGATGGGTTGAAAATCGGCCGATTTTTCGGCCGAAAATAAAATCGGCCGATTTTCGGATCGTTAGTGGGCTATTTGTTCGGCCGTTTTTCGGTATTTTGGCCGTTTTTTTTTTAATCGGGAAAGTTGGAAAAAAATCGGCCGATTTTCGCGGCAATAATGGGCTAATCGGCCGATTTTTTTACAGATAAAAAATCTGCGCATGAGCAGTGACCTGCAAGAGGAAGACAAAAAGAAGAAGAGGAAGAAGAAGAGATGATGAAGAAGAAGAGGATGATGATGATGAAGAAGAAGTGGTGGAGGATGATGATGATGAAGAAAAAAGAGGATGCTGAAGAAGAAGATCATGAAGAAAAAGGAGGATGATGAAGAAGAAGAGGAGGATGATGATGAAGAAGAGGAGGATGATGATGATGATGAAGAAGTAGAAGAAGAGGATGATGATGATGAAGAAGTAGAAGAAAGAAGAGGATGATGATGAAGAAGAAGAAGTAGTAGTAGTAGAAGAAGAGGATGATGATGAAGAAGTAGTAGAAGAAGAAGAGGATGATGATGAAGAAGAGGATGATGAGAAGAAGAAGTGAGAAGAAGAGGATGATGATGTAGTAGAAGAAGAAGAAGAGGAGGATGATGATGATGAAGAAGAGAATGATGAGGATGATGATGTAGAAGAAGAGGAGGATGATGATGAAGTAGAAGAAGAGGATGATGATGAAGAAGAGGATGATGATGAAGGAGAAGAAGAAGGATGAAAAATAAAAGGAATTCCAGTCCAGCAAAAAGTGTCTCTGCAGAGAGCTCCGCTATTTCTTTGACAGTTCTTTGACATTTACAGAGGTTGCAACAATGTATCTATTTGTTTCCGAATAAAAACATCTGTATCCTAAATGGATACAAATAGATACATTGTTGCAACCTCTGTAAATGTCAAAGAACTGTCAAAGAAATAGCAGAGCTCTCTGCAGGGACACTTTTTGCCGGCTGTAGATGGGATGAAAATCGGCCGTTTTTTTTTTTTTTTTTTTTTTTTTACCATTGGTGGTAACGTCGGCCACTTGAACGACCGATTTTTCGTTTTTTTTTTTTAAAAGAAAAATCGGCCGATTTTCGACCCATCTATGGCCTGCATTACAAACCGCTTTTTCTTCAGAATAACAGAATTTTCTCTCAACAAAAGTGGAGATACTCTTTAATAAAAGAAAGCTAATGAACTAATGCAGCCAGCACATTTGAGAATTGGCTGCCTTTTTTATATCTTTTTTTTTTTTGCTTGTTAGGTTCAATACCTGTTTAACTTACCCCCACTCTACTCATGGAAAAATGTGTTGTGTGGGGCTCAGGTTAAATTTACGGAAGTTTGATGAATTATCATATTGGGTAAATTAAAAAAATAAAACAGGAAGCTGAAATAAATACCTTGATACCTGACAAAAGACTGTTGCAGACTCCCTTATGGTAGCTATCCACTCTTCAATAAATTATCAACTGTTTTTTCTAATTGATCAATTTTATTAGGAATAATTGATCTATAGTTGACAACCCGTTTGATCGAAATGCCGCACACAGGAAAGTGGATTTCAATCGATAGTTAAGATGTGCTTGTGGCTTACCAATTTCATCTCTGTTGTCACCATATAATTGCGTAATCTGATTGCTTGAAATGCGATCATATTCATAAACAAAATATCTTGGTGCTGTCAATTGGTGCAAAGCAATTGATCATTTTCCACCCTGGCCGGCTAACTTGGTTTGACCGAATCTGTTTGAAATTTAGTCTAAATTGATTGACAGGGAACTTATCTCTTCAGTTGTTTGCTAATTTGATCATTTTGATTGATTCACACATCGATTGACTAATAAAATCGAGTGTGTGTATGGCCACTAATTACATGCTCACCAAATAAATGAAGTCCACTGCTTTTTTTTCCAACACTGAAAAACACAAACAGGAGACAATACCTCAAAAAGTTTATCCCGGTAACTACAAGCTGTGTTATAAAATTTAACAATGAAGTTTGTTTTAGTTTGTCAATTTTTCTCTTTTGTTGGTTGATAGCAAGAGCAAACTCGTTTGTGGGGACAGCGCAATATGTGTCACCAGAACTTCTCACAGAGAAATCTGCTTGCAAGAGGCAAGTATTATTTTACTCTAAAGCCCAGCTCCTTTGTGAACATTTAAGAAGCATACCTATGAATATTCTGATTTAGCAGTTTTTTTTTTTTTTTCCGCTTTTTATAGTTTTTAATGGTATTTTACATATACACAGTAACTCAAATATTTTTTATTTATTACAGGTACTTGTATAGCACCGACAATTTGTGCAGCACTTTACATATATATTGTACATTCACATCAGTCCCTGCCCCCAAGGAGCGTACAATCTAAGGTCCCTATCTCACATGTATACATATACTAGGTCCAATTTAGATAGGAGCCAATTAGCCTACCAGCGTGTTTTAGGGGTGTGGGAGGAAACGGAGTACCCGTAGGAAACCCGCACAAGCAGAAGAACATGCAAAGTTCAGGAAGGTAGTCCCATTGTTTGGATTCGAACCAACAACACAAGTGTTGCCAGGCGGACGTGTTAACCAGTTAGCCACTTTTTGTTTTCAGACAATGAAACGGGCAATTATTGTAGTTCTTTTGCTACAACACATGTAAAGAGCTGGCAACACTGCCAAACATTATGACCTGGCTTAGAGTGCCTCTAAATTACTGTTTGTATCAGAGGGGTTTGTATGAGGTTTCAGTTAGAAAGAAGCATTGCTGGGCTCTCTTAATAAAAGCCTGTTGTGCTCTGCAAATACATTATGATGTAAAGCACATGGTTTTAAAAGTTTATAATAAAGATTATACACCAGTAAAGGAAAAATATATAAAAAAAAACAGTTTATAAACTTTTTTTTTTATAAAAAATAGTCTTGTCTTTGTTTTGTTTATTTTTAATGTCAGCTAAAATGTATCAATTTGTATTTATTAATCTGATATCAGGACAAATGTATTTCCTTATTACATACTCAGACTCCTGACTCGTAGTCATTCACACTGGTTGAACTCCTTGTGTAGCTGATATTCTATGTCAACAGTTGTAAACCTGAAGCAAAGTGATAGCCCTGTGCCCTTAGATACTCTTTAGTGGCCAATATACAAATATTTCTAACTAAAGCAAAGCTTTCCTAAAAGTCATATGAAGGCCATCTTTGCTGACCTTCTGAAGTTCTAGTTTTTATGGCTCTTATACTGACCTGAGACAAGTATGCAGGTCAAGAAAATTGTAGTAAATCCAGAACTTGCTTGCTTAATTTTTTTGGGTGAGTGATTAAAAGTATTGGAAACGCAGGTTTAGTTGGTGACAGGGTCTTATTGAAAATAGACCCTGGAATAACTCTCAAATGCATGGATCACCAAAAAAATACAGCATACTTCCCCTGTAAGAAAAACATATGCTCCTATGATACCAGTGGATTCCTCTCTGTTTGCTTCTCTATATATAAGTTCCACAGTCAGCCATAATGCTGCATTGAAGGAGCTGGGTACACACTCAAAATTCACCAATGTGAATTCACTAACCTGCTTTTTAGCTGTACTGCATGAATAATTGCTTAAGTATAGTAATCTAGAATTGTATTTTCTTTTTAAAATAAATTTTTTTATTAGACTGACATAATTCTGAATTTTTTTTCTCCTTCCCTCAGTTCGGATCTCTGGGCACTGGGTTGTATTGTATATCAATTAGCAGTATTTTCTTTTTAAAACTTTTTTTATTAAAGTAGCCGGCCTACCACCATTCAGAGCTGGGTAAGAGATTGCCATGATTGACATGTGCCATTGTCCATCAGTGCCTTCTTTGTGTTCTGACTTTGTGATTTAATGTATGTGTCCTGTCTTGCAGAAATGAATATCTTATATTCCAGAAGATAATTAAGCTGGAGTATGACTTTCCAGAAAAATTCTTCCCTAGAGCAAAAGACCTTGTGGAAAAGCTTCTGGTAATTTGTTCCCCTTTGTAATCATGTCTGTGGTTATTGAATCTGTGACAGATGTAAACTGGTTCAGTTCTTTATCCATCTTTGCTATCAAAATATTAGTTTCTGTTCAGCCTAATTATCTACAGTATGATATTTCCCTGAACTCGGTTAAGATATCTTATAAAAATGTTTCCTTTTGTCAATTGAGGGACACAAGAACTCAGAATCACTTGGGTTATATTGCCATCTATAAGTGGTTGGGACATTGGAAAATAGAATAATTATATGCCTGCCCTTAAATAACCCCTCCTCTACCCAGCATGCTGTTTTTTCCAGCATTCTAGGAGGTCAGATACGTTTTCTTCAGATTTTTTTGCTAGTCTTCTTTCCTTATTAGGTTTTTTTTTTTTTCCCAGTGACTTACATCAAGATTCCTTGATTACACCGCTGCGTGAGCTGGACTCTGTATAGAGTAGTAGCTAACTAGATCAGCATTTCCACAGACTAGCTTTGGAGGCTATACCCAGACACACTGCACTGGACAAGAGGGGCTATGGGGATGTGGCCCTCAGGCACCGGACTCTACAATATGGTGTCTTCCAGAGTGTGCTGTGTTAGTTGTGGAGTGATTTCCAGATCTAGAGACAAAGCACAGCCCCAGGTGTGAATTTTGTCTCTGAAGATTTACCGTGTGAGTAAGGCTGTTAATGCTACTGCACCAGGAGCTTCCTCACAGTTTAGAAAGATGTAACCTTTCTAAAGTCCACCATCACCAGTTTTACCACAGAATGGGTTTCAGGCTGGGGGCAAATGCTTACATTAATCGGTTGGGTGGAGTGACGAGTGTGTATGCTCTGTACTCTTTTCTTCATTCAGCCTGGAGGCAGCACCATCCTGCTTGTGGAGCACCATGTTGTTATCCAGTTCCTGGCCTGTTTCCACTGCCTGCCTACAGTACCCTGATCAGCTCCGGCTGCCAAAAACCCTAATCTGCACCAGTTTTTTAGTACCTGAGGCCTTGTCTCACTTTGGACACAGTTATTGACTACTTCAAAGTTGCAACATGTCTTCACTAAGACACAGAGAGGACATTCCCACTCAGCCCATACTTCCCTATGGTACATTTGATATGGAATCTGAGACCCCTATCATCTGAGTCTTCCCCACCTCTGTCGGGCAAGGCTGAGTCCTCCCTATGTCCATCTTTACCTTTTATACTGAACTGCTGGGGCACTCTGCCAGCATAGCTTCTAAGCATACTTCTTCGACCCTCCTGAGCACTTAGATCAAGATGTGTTAGCGGCCCATCACCATCTTTGACTGAGATTCAGAGTTCCAGCAGTCTGCCTTTGAACATAGTGTTTGAAGCACTGCAGTCTCCAGCATTTGACTTGGATTTACAGTGCAACTTCCAAGGTCTTTCTGAGTTCTTCGTATCCCAGGACCCCTTGATTCTGTGCAACTTTTGACGTTGTACCCAATCCAGACTCCCACTCCCTTTTTCATAAGAATCCCATACTGAATTCATGGCCAAGAAATATTGGCACCCCTGCATTTCTGTTAGATAATGCACCACTTCACCCAGAAAATTGTTGCAGTTACAGATGTGTAGGCATTCTCATGTTTATTTATTTTGTTTGTATTCGTAAGACACAAAAAAAGTAGGGAAGCAAAAAGCCAAATCTGACACATTCAATGCAAAACTCAAAAAATGGACAGGACACAATTATTGGCACCTTCTCAAAATTGTAAGAAATAATTGCATTCCAGGTTTGTGATGTTCCTGTAATTTGTAATTAAACTCACCTGTATCAATTGTTACTAAACCCAGGACCCTGCATTCACTATATCTGGTCTCCCACAGTACACAGAACATGGAAGTGCAATTATTTTAGTAAATATAAACTGCTAAATGCCTTTTCTCATCAGCAGTTAGAGCAGTCTTGTGACTTCTATCAGTGTTCAGCAGAACACATGTTAAAGCTTGTAGCAGTAGTTTTCATGCTGCTTTAGGAGGATGCAATACCTCTGACCTCTGTCTGAACAGTGCTGATTGTCCCTGTGCTGATCACATGCACTCTCTCAAGGAAGAATAAAACCTCTCTGGCAATGCACACCAAACTGAGCATGTGCAGAGTGACTCCACATGATTTGTCTTGTCAGGAGATGAGGGGGACACTAGAAGAAGGGGAGTATAAGAGAAGTCAGGATCAAACAGTCTTTTTACACAATGCAGAGGATTAACCCCTTAGGTTCCACAAGTATAACAAGCATGCTTTACTGCATTTACAGGCTGATTTTACTGTTGTGAGTTTAATAACATTACTTTAACAGGTGCTGACAATCTAGAAATCACACCGGCAATTAGTTAAAATGGTGAATAATTGACTCAACCTTTTTGTTGTGTGTCTTTGTGTGCCACATGGAGCATGGAGAAGAGAAAGAGCAGCAAAGAATTGTCTGTGAATTTTGGAACAAAAATTGCAGAAAACCATGGACAATCTTAAGGTTACAAGTCCATGTCCAGAGATCTTAATGTCCTTGTGTCCACTGTGCGCAACATTATGAAGAAATTTACAGCCCATGGCACCGTAGCGAATCTCTCTGGACATGGACGAAAGAGAAAAAATAGTCAAAGATTGTAACGAAGGATTGTTTGGTGACCAAAGAACCTCAATCAACTTCCAGACAAATTCAAGCTGACCTTCAGACACAGGATACAGCTGTGTCAGGTCGCGTTATACGTTTATATTGTAAAGCACTGAGCAAACTGTTGGCACTGTATAAATCCTGTATAATAATACGTTACCATCTGAATGAAAAGGGGGTATTATGGTAGGAGACCCAGGAGGACCCCACTGCTAAAACAGAAACATAAAAAGCCAGATTGGAGTTTGCCAAAACTTACCTGGGGGAGCCAAAATCCTTTTGGGAGAATGTGCTGTGGACAGAAGAAACAAAATTACAGCTTTTTGATAAAGCCCATCATTCTGTTTTCAGAAAAATCAATAAGGGCTTTAAAGCAAAGAATAGAGTCCATACAGTCAAATATGGAGGAGGTTCACTGTTGTTTTTGGGTTGCTTTGCTGCTTCAGGCACTGGATGTCTTGACCGTGTGCATGGCATTATGAAATCTGAAGACTACCAGAGAATTCTGGGGTGCAGTGTAGGGCCCAGTCTTAGAAAGTTGGGTCTCCACCAGAGGTCAAGGGACTTACAACAGGACAATGACCCAAAGCACACACAAATGGTTTCAGACAGAGCGCTGGAGAGTACTGAACTGGCCAGCAATGAGTCCAGATCTCAATCCCATAGAGCACCTGTGGAGAGATCTTAAAACAGCAGTTGGGGAAAAGGAACCCTTCCAACCTGAGAGACCTGGAGCAGTTTGTGAAATAAGAGTGGTCCAAAATTCCAGTAGAGAGGTGTAAGAAACTTATTGATGGTTCCAGGAAGCGATTTCAGTTATTTTTTTCCAAGGGGTGTGCTACCAAATATTAAATGGATGGTGTCAGTAATTTTGTCTAGTCCATTTTTGGGGTTTTGTGTGGAATGTGTCAGATTTGGCTTTTTGTTTCTCCACTTGTTTGTGTCATACCAATCCAAACAAAAGAAATAAACACGAGAATGCCTAAACATTTTTAATTGCAATAATTTATTGGGCAAAGTGGTGCATTATCTGACAGAAATGTGGGGGTACCAAAATTTTTGTCCATGACTGTATATTCTGTTAAATTTCTTGTGATACCTGGTACCTAATATCCTCTCCAGAGGAACTCTCTGATCTTCAGAGTTGACTGGGAACAGTTCTGGCTTTTCCCTATCTTAACAAGGACCTGGCCTCTCAGTGTTTTTTAGGGATACCTGCTACATCTCTGAATTTCTGGACCTTGAGGTTATCCTAGTGTGCTATTCTGGCACCTCCTTAGTGGGAGAAGCTCAGTCATTCTTCCCTGAAGAAGCTTAGGTTTTGGATCCTTGCAATTTGAACACCTGCAAAATTCAATCCGCTAGGAATTTTCAGATGTCTGTCATCAGGGGCTATCTGTCATTGGCAGGGAAAGGCTTTTCAGCTTAAACTCTCACTAAAAAAAGTCTAATCCCTGTATGTCATTGGGCCCTTTAACAGTCAGGGAGTTTTCCCACTTTCACCTATTAGTCTTTGTAGACCACTGTATTTCCCCAGCCTGCCACTGTATTGCCCCCACCTGCCACTATACTACCCCTGCCTGCGCTGCGTTGCCCTAATCTGCCGCTGCGTTGCCCTAATCTGCCGCTGTGCTGCCCTAATTTGCCACTATACTTCTTTAATCTGCCACTATGCTTCCCCAAGCCTGCCACTAATCTGCCAGACCCTGCCACTAATCTGCCAGACCCTGCCACTAATCTGCCAGACCCTGCCACTAATCTGCCAGACCCTGCCACTAATCTGCCAACCCTGCCACTAATCTGCCAACCCTGCCACTAATCTGCCAAACCCTGCCACTAATCTGCCAAACCCTGCCACTAAACTGCTATAGCCTGCCACTATGCTAAACTAGCATAACCACATCTCTCTTATATATGTATGATTAAAGTGTGGCAATAGGTTAATGACTTGCTGCTTTCAAAACCACACCCGTTTTTAAATGAATGCCTCATCCCTAATTTAAGTACATTCTTTGTCTACAATGGCTTTCTGAGCGCACAGTGAAAAAAGGTGATCCCGGAAATGTTTAAAATGTTGGCAGCTATGCTGAAGTCCTTCTCCTATCTCTGCACTGCACACAGCCTGGGCAAAGGCAGCAGAGCTCCTGCTCCCCACACAGCGCATAGCTGAGATCAGATTCCCTTACACACAACCGCAATCTGCACAGTGTGTAGCTGGCTGCTGTGTTGCTGTGCAGGGATGAGGGAAGGCTCTCTTCTGGGTGCCCTGCCAGCAGTGACCCATGTCCTCTGCCCTGCCAGCAGTTACCCCTGCTCTTTGCCTTGCTGGCAGTGACTCCTACCTTTTGCCTTGCCAGCTGTGACTTCTATCTTCTGCTCTGCCAGCAGAGATTCCTGTCTTCTGCCCTGCCAGCAGTGACCCCTGTCTTTCTTCCTACGGACCCCTGTTCTTTGCGTTGTGGACTCCAGTACACTGCTCTACAAGTTGATGGCCTCTGTTCCCTGTCCTACAAACTAATGTCCCTATCCTCTGTCCTGCTGACCCCCTGTACACTGCCTTTCTGGCCTCCCATCCTCTGCCCCCTGACATTTGTACTGCACCCCCACATTATACAGGCTAGATCTGGCCCTGGGAGATCCTGCTCTGAGATGGCTTTCTGAGTTGCACTCTGTTGGATATCATTTTGGTGCTGCAGGACCTTCACCTACAGGATGATTTTCCCTGTGACAGGACAAATGGCCTGGCCCCTACCCTGGATGAAACTGAGACTACTGTTCTCAACTGCACTGTCTTTATTAGAGACAATTCATTGCCAGCAGCTGGAGGTGGGGTCTGTCTTTTGTGGTTCATCCACAGCCTCTTGAGAAGGTTCTTCTAAATCCCTTTCTCGTTTCTTCTCCTTAGCAAGTGACAGTTCTTATTAGCGTAGCTAAGCTTCCTAAAACCCTCTCCATGACTAGGGTTGCTTTGCAGGACTAAGGCAGGTCATGAGATTCTATGAGTCAAATTCTGTACTCAAGGTTAGGTAGGTTCCAGGGTGATCCTTTGAAAAAGTGGGTGGATTTTGCTTATCTTCTTCTTGTTTTCATTTGCACCATTTTGGGATTGTGAATACTGTTCATCTCTCATTCAATTTCCCAACTTGCAGGGCTACCTTTTGTGTACCATATTCTCTTTTGAGTCTGGTACCCTTCAGTTGTCTACCAGACTCTCAGGAATCACTTGGCAATCCTTAAGCGATGTTTCGTTGTGAGGATTCTCACATTTGGACATCTCATTGCAAGATCAGTTTCCCGGCCAACTGTGGATGAAGTTATGTTTCCCTCAGTAGAGTTCAGAAAATTTGATTTTATGGCAAGTACAAAAACCTTATTTTTCTAATCATTGTTCAACTTTTTAACTACTGCCTGGATTTTGTCCTCTCTGACAGGTCCAAGACCCTATTAAACGATTAGGCTGTGAAGAATTGGGAGGCTTTGGCCCCCTCAAGGCCCATTCGTTTTTTGATGGCATCACGTGGAAGGACCTGCATCTTCAGACACCTCCAAAACTCACAGCTTATTTACCGGCAATGGCTGAAGACGATGAAGAATTCTATGGAAATGTAAGTAAAACTGTGATGTTAGACAACATTCATGCTAGTTCAGTGTCAATCAAGATCCCAGCTTAGAAAGAAAAAAACAATTTACTGTTTTGAGGGCACTAACAAACCAACTTTCAGTTCACCTGTGCATTTAAAATAATTAATGTGCAAGTGCCCCAGTTTGTAACAATACATATGTCTTTCAGAAACCAAAGCTTTTGTGTTGGTGGGTAAGGAGCCTTTATTGGTAAAGCAGATGGCATTACTGCCAAGGCATTTCAGGGTTTGTTTGAGGACACCACTTTTTTCAAGGCTCTGGAATACAAATAAAAGCACTAACAGTTTTGACTGGGCAGAGGTTCACCTTCCAGCAGGACAACAACACTAAACATACAGCCAGAGCTACAATGGAATGGTTTATAACAAAGCATATTCGTATGTTAGAATGGCCCAGTCAAAGTCCAGACCTAAATACAATTGAGAATCTGTGGCAAGACTTGAAAATTGTTGTTCATATACACTCTCCATCCAATCTGACAGAGCTTGAGCTACTTTGAAAAGAAGAATGGGCAAAAATGTCCCTCTCTAGATGTGCAAAGCTGGTGAAGACATCCCAAAAAGACTTGCAGCTGTAATTGTAGCGAAAGGTGGTTCTACAAAGTATTGTCTCAGGGGGGCTGAATACAAATGCACGTCACACTTTTCACATATTTATTTGTAAAAAAGTTTTGAAAACCATTTATCATTTTCCTTCCACTTCACAATTTTGTGTGACTTTGTGTTGGTCACATAAAATCCCAATAAAATACATTTACTTTTTTGGTGGTAACATGACAAAATGTGGAAAATTTCAAGAGGTATGAATACTTTTTCAAGGCACTGTATGTATTCTTCACACTGAAAAGCTTTTTGACCACTGATTGCAGCTCTCTTTACCCTTCAACACATAAGCTACAGTTTTGAGGAACCTGTTTCCCCCACCACAGGAAGTTCCTTATATAAGTTGTCTTTCCCACCTCTGGAATAGGAGAAAGGCCCATATAAATTTTTCTGCTTTAGTACTGCGCGTTCACACAGGCATAGTTCTATGAGCAGTGCCGCAGTATAGTGTCCCGTTCACACAGGCATTAACTTGTAAACTCTCCCTTTTGTTTACATTTTTTTTTTTTTTTTTTCAGCAGGTTGGGTGCAGTGCTATGCAAAGTCTCATCAGCTGTATAGCCTATAATGGGCTGCCTATCGCTCTGTGTTGATGTATGAGGCAAATTACGAAAATGTAGAATTTGGTTTTATTTTAGCAAAAAGTACCAATTTTATAATACAGTATATACAGTTTGTCTCATATTCAGACAAAACTGGTTGGTTGCGATATACTACTTTGCTCTTTAACTTGAGTTTTTAAGCAAAATCCACTTCTCTGTGACCCTTTTGGAAATGTGGAATAGGGAAGGGGACTTCTGTTTTTACATATTCCCTGATATTTATGGTTTTCTCATGAATGCTATCCCTCCTCTGCAGACCTTTTCAGTTAATAAGAGTGATAAGGAGGAATGTGCCAATTGTAATATGTTAGGCCCTTCACCTGTAGACCACAATGGGGTCACTGTCCTCTTTCATACCTCACTGGTGTATGAGTAGTAGTATTGCATGTGGTAGCACTTTTGTGGCACGTTAGCATTACATGGGGACTATTTCAGTATATTTGATAATTAGTATGGGGTATGTAGAGTTCACTCGTGCATACTGCTGGAAGCACAGTGCTGTTAATTTAGCAAATACTGCTTATTTCGCCTGATCACATATGTAAATAATTAATAATACAGGGGTTACAGCAAGTTTAATGATCTGTAAATCAGGCCTATAGTTACCAAAATAACAGGTCCTCAGGCATTTTAGTACTTAAAAGACACTATGAGTAATTTATCAAGACTGGCTCAGAAGGTTTCATTTTTTTTCTCAGGTTTGATCTCTTTATCACACAATATGGTATATGCTTATTATATATCAAATCCAACCATGACCTGGACCATGTAAAGCAAAAAAATGTTTAGAAATTATAACTTTAAAAAAAAAAAAAAAGTGTTCTCAGCATGTGGTATATGTAACACAGGGGGTAGTTGTATCTGTCAAGTTGTACTTGATATTTTAGTTGGAAGGCTAAAGCCGGCCATAGATGGTTCGAATCTTGGCCAATTCAGCAGGGATTGGCTGAGATTCAAACCACCTATGGGCAGGCTGACTGTACACAATTCAATTGTTTGACTTTTGTACAACTAGCCTGTCAAATTTTTCATGCGATTAACCGCTTCCCGACCACCCTATAGCAGAAATACTGCTACAGGGCAGCGCGTGTGTGCGCAAAATCATGTGTTTGTGTGTATACATATATGCATTTGCATTTCCGGGTAGGGGGCTGTGTCTGTGTGTTTACAGTGAAGCACAGGGACACAGGCCCCTAGTGAAACACTCTCAGAAGTTAATCACCCCTCATGTTAACCCCTTCCTGTCCAGTGATATTAGTACAGTGTCAGTGCTTTTTTTTTTTTTTTTTTTTTTTTTTTTTTTTTTTTTTTTTTTTTTTTTTTAGCACTGATCACTGTATTGGTGTCACTGGGGATGTCATTGGCACCAAGTTAATTTCTCACCAGTGTCAGAATGCCTGCCACAGTCCCGCTATAAGTCGCTGATCGCCGCCATTACTAATAAAAATAAAAAAATTCCAGTATCTATACTGCCATTTGTAAACGCTAAAACTTTCACGCAAACCATTTAATTTACACGTATTGGGATTTGTTTTTAGCAAAGACATGTAGCAGAATACATTTTGGCCTAAATTTATGATGAAATTAGTTTTTTTTTTTTTTTTTTTTACTGGACATATTTAATAGCAAAAAGTCAAAAATATTGTTTGTTTGTTTTTTTCCTCAAAATTAAATGGTACCAAAATTGGATGTCACATGAGCTGTCTTTCAACTACTGCAGTATCTTCACTTTTTTTCCAGTGTGATATTGCAGGATAAACAATGCTTATGCGTACTAGGTGGATGACCACCGGGAAAAGATGTGATAGCTTGCACACTTTAACACATATACTATCTGCTTATGGTTATGGTTTTTTTTTTTGTTTTGTGTTTTTTTGTAATAAAAATGTAATGAATAAGTATCAAAAACGTGCATATGTGCAACACATCATAAACCAGTCCCAAATTAGTGAAACAAGTGCATACGCTTGTGCTCAGCTTAATTAATGAATCATCTCCAAAATGTGCTCCACTGTCTTCGACAAAGGTGCCCCACATGGACTGATACTCACCCCTATCCAATGACCATCTGTCTATAGAATGGTCCTTCATGCTTTAGGGACATTCCCAAGAGACCGGTTGTCTCCGTATCCTGAGCCTGTGGCCATCTATCTCCAAGGTGGTCTGTATTGCTTTGCAGGACAATTTCCAAAGGGCCAGTTGTCTCTACACCCCCGCAAGGTGAGAAAAAATATATCACCATATACAATGGAAAAAGAGGGGACGTCCCACAGTGTAAAACTGTATAGTATATATATTAGGGGTAAATTGTTCAAAAATGCACTCACAAGAAAAGTGCCTAAGCCCGATACCTGGTGTACTCAGCTTTGTTACTCCTACTAATGGAAGCCGCTAGACTGAAAGCTCCTCGGATCGGCGTGCGTTCCACTGGGCGGATGCGACAGCGGCAGAAGTTGCGTCATCAAACTCTGACGCATGTCGATACAAGATAGTCTTCAGGAAGTACAAAATCTGCCATTTTGGTAATTGTATTTATACCCTTCAACCAGATATTAGTTTGATACAACTACCCGCAACATTGCTGAGTACACTCACTGTTACACATTCTTTGGCTTCATATTAATTATTGCTGACATTACTCAAACCTAACCCATAAATGCAAGCAATATTTGTAACAATAAAAAATAATAAACTAAGCAAACCTTCCATATTGTGCCACAAGAACTATCCCCTTAAAGGGGAAACCGCTCAAATAGAATGGACCCAACAAGGTTCATAAATTGGGTAATCTATGTTTCTACACATATAAAATTAGTAGCCCATAATGCTAGCACTAAATAAATACAATAAACGTGAAACTATAATAAATGATGGCTGTAATTTACCATGGGCTTTGTTTCTTTAAAAATCTGTCAAAAAACAGTTTTAGATCTATTTCAACAGTTTGAAGTTCATATATTCACTTTATTTCATTTTTTGAAATTTATCTAACCATATAAGATCCCTTCCAGTGTCTGTCTATCTTGTCTATAGCAAAAAAAAGAGAGATGTGATGGATCTTTATTTTGCAACAATCTGAAATGATTCGAGACACTGTTTCTGATATCTTTCTAATGTTGGTAATATGTTCGCTTACTCTTTTAGTGAGTTTCCGAGTGGTCCTCCAATAGATATTGGTGTCCACAGCTACTGGGGTGATTTTTTTTGGATTTTCTTAGTATGTCTACATGGGTCACATTTTCCACACCTGAAAAAACAACCCTCCTGGAAGAAGTAGAGTTTTTTTTCCTAGGGGGGTCTGGAATATTATGAACCAGTTTGGGTCTTAAACCTGGGGCCCGTCTATAAATAAAGGACGGTTTGTTTGGGAGTATAGTTTTTATTATAGGACCCTTGCATCAAATGGGCCAGTGTCTTCTAAAGCACTTTACTAACTCCTTGTATTGTTTATTGAACCAAGTGATGAAGGCAGTGTCTTTCACCTTAGTGCTTTCTTTTTTTCTTTCTCTCCAGTAAATCTTCCCTACGTAGGGAACCTATTTCTTCTCTCACTTTACTTAATTCCTCAAATGTATAGCCCTTTTCCTTGAATCTGTCCGAGGATATCAGTTTGCTTAATATAATCCTCTTGCAATAAACAGTTCCTCCTTATCCTCATAAATTGGCCCTTGGGGATAGCTTTCTTCCATCTCAGGTGGTGGCAGCTTTTCACTGGTATGTATCCATTTCTATCGGTACTTTTAAAGAATGTTTTAGTCCCCAGTGTATCAGCGTGTTTGAATATGGTAAAGTCTATACTTTCTTGTTGAATACTAGCAGTGAATTTGATTCCATACACATTGGAATTGATATGTGAGATAAATTTGTCTAAAGAATCCCTAGTTCCCTGCCATACCACCAGGATGTCATCAATGTGTCTCTGGTAAACGTATAGTTCAGGCCATGTCTTTCCATAAATTTCTTCCTCTTCCCATTTGTTCAGGAAAATGTTGGCCACACTTGGGGCATATTTTGCCCCCATAGACACTCCCTTGATCTGATTGTAGTAATGGCCATCATACCAAAAGAAGTTGTTAGTCATTGCCAAATCAAGTCCTTCCAGAATACATTTTCTTTGCACCTTCTCTAAATTTGTATATTTCTTAAGGGCCCACCTGACTGCATCACTCACATGGTGTTGCTGAATATTCGTGTTTAGTGATTCCACGTCTATCGTTACTAATAGACTGGAATCTTCAACCCTAAGACCAGCGATTTTATTAATAACATCTATGCTATCCCTTAAATAAGAGGGACTTTTGCTTGCTACAGGTTGGAGATACAAGTCTAAATACTCCCCCCAACCTTGAGAAAAGGGAATCTATCCCATTTAGAATTGCCTACCAGCAATGTTGTGGATAGCTGTATCAAACTAATATCCGGTTGAAGGGTATAAATACCATTACCAAAATGACGGATTTTGCACTACCTGAGGACAATCTTGTATCGAAACACGTCCATGTTTGATGACGCAACTTCCGCCGACGTCACATCCGCCCTGTGGAACGCATGCTGCTCCAAGGAGCTTTCAGTATAGCGGCTTCCATTTGTAGGAGTAACAAAGCTGAGTACACCAGGTGCCGAGCTTAGGCACTTCTCTTGTGAGTGTACTTATTTACAATTTACCCCCAATAAATATACTATACAGTTTTACACTATGGGATGTCCCCTCTTTTTGCATTGTATATAGTGATATATATTTTTTTCGCAACTTGCGGGGGTTTGGAGACAACTAGCCCTTTGGAAATTGTCCCACAAAGCAATACGGACCACCTCGGGGATAGATGGTCACAGGCTTAGGATCTGGAGACAACCGGTCCCTTGGGAGTCTTCCTAAAGCATGAAGGACCATTCTATAGACAGATGGTCATTGGATAGGGGTAAGTGTCAGTCCATGTGGGGCATCTTTTTTCGAGGACACTGGAGCACATTTTGGAGATGATTCATTAATTAAGCTGAGCACAAGCATATGCACTTGTTTCACTAATTTGGGACTGGTTTGTGGTATGTTGGACATATGCATATGTTTTTGATTATGCGGGGTCTATTTGTTTTTCCTATTACAATTTCATTGTGACATTTGAACACAAGTAGAGGACTGCGGCAAAGGTTTGTTTTCTTGATTGTGGCACATCCATGAGCACTTTTATTATTTAATGAATAAGTATAATTTCCAATGTTTGTTACCCCATTTGAAATCCAGAATTACAGGTGATGCACCTATGGTCATCTAATGTAATTTAATATATGCCTTTTTGTCTTTCAGTATGATGACCTTCTGAGTCAGTTTGGAGGTATGCAAGTAGCCTTGTCTGTATCGCCCCAAACACTGCTAACACCAGAACCCGTTCAGCCACAGCGTTCTGGCAGTAACATAGAACAGTACATCCACGACATTGACAATAATTCTTTTGAGCTTGATCTACAGTTCTCAGAGGAGGAAAAGCGGCTACTGCTTGAAAAACAAGCCGGAGGAAACCAGTGGTAAGTGGCTCCATTTCTAACTTTTTCTAAATCAAACGTTTTAGAACCTAAAAGGTTCTAAATTAAAAATATTGCATAGGAGCCAAGTCCACCTTTGTGATCATGTTTTCTGTTACACCCACATGAAGTCACCGCACTTATAGTCCATTGTTTACTTCATCCGTATAACTGTAGGTTCCTACTTCCTTACAGACCTGGGGTTGGGGGGAGAGTCCAAAGGAATGTATGCATTGCAGCTGCAATCCACTGAACGTCCCATTCTTGAATGCAGAAAATTGATAAGTGCACATTTTTTCTTTTATCAGTGGTCCATTTGAATGTTTTTTTTTTTTCTTTTTCAAAATGTGGACTATGACTTTAAATGAAGGCATTTAGTGGTTTCTTCTGTAACTAAAAAGTGTCCAAACCAAATCTCCATAAAGGTGTTGAAGAAAATATAACATTTCTGGGTATTATCTGTACTTGTACTTGAGATCTATATATAGAAAGAAATGTATGCATATAAAATATAGGGTTAACACGGTCATGTTTGTATTTTGTGAATGTGTGTTCTATTGGCGTGGCATTAAAACAGTTTTGTATTTTTGTATATTAAATTAGAAAACTTATAAAATAATCTTAATTATGTGTTAGGTTTGGAAACACATGGTCGTACTAGTCAGAATATTAAAAAACTCAGGAAAATACAGGGCCGTTGTGCGACAGCCATGATTAGCCAACTGATCCCCCACAGCGCTACTCCCTTTCTGTCTTCTATTTCTGCTGTACCCTTTACCATACTGTCCCTTTCTTCCAGGGTGGATTTGATTTAAATCAAACTGATTTAAATCACGATTTAAATCACTAGTCAGTAAGGCTTGATTTAAATCCTAGTTTTCTACATAAAGACTAATTCTTGCTGGTATAACTTTAATATGCAAGTAGATGAAGATTTTTAGAATAACAACTTTTCATATTAGTTTTTTTATCCCCAGTTTAATAGGTTAATCATTCATATTTGGACAACTTTTCTGTTGTACTTAGGAAGGAGAAAAATAATCATTACCTTAATAATAACAATTTAAATAGATTTATTCAACTGAAACAATAACATTCCAGCATATGTTATTTGCTTAAACAAACATCCATGTTTGTTAACTCATTTGGCTAAACAAAATATATGTATTTTAAGAAACTTAGACTGTCCCCCCTTCCTCCTCACACTTAGTCTCACATTCTTCTTGTGCAGATCTATTCCACTCCAAACAATCAAAAAAATATTGTTTCTATTCTATTCACTGAACTTCTTGGGGGTTGATTCTGTATTCATAGGTTTGTAGAAGTTAGGATGAAGGTCTTTTTCTTAACTCTGTTCATGTTATAACATTTTTGCTGTGAAGAAGAGGCATGTGATCTCCGCTGAGTCAAATTCAGTTTTGAGAACTGCAAAGTAAACCGAGCATCTGTGATAATATCTTGTAGGCAGAGAAACTGCCCAATAATCTTACAAAAACCTCTGGAAGAGCATGACGTGAATGGATTAATGGAATTTATTTACCAAAAAAATTAAACATATACAGCCTTATTCTACATAATTAAAAACCTAATCTTTATTTCATGATGGAATAACCTTTGGATGGTAATATATTTTCCTCAAAAAGCATTTTATTAAAAAAAATCAGATTTTTTTTTTTGATTTTTAAAATAAAATCATTGATTTTTATCCACCCTGCTTTCTTCCCTTTTTATTCTTTTGCTCCACTCTCCTAACCTCCCCAAGGCCGGCCGGTCTAATGAGAGGGACCATACCATGCCTACCAAAACTTCCCCACCCTCTCTTTTTCCTCACTGATCCCATAATAAACACCCTTCCTAGCGCTTACCCTACCACAGACCGAGAGACATAGTTTGTACATCTTTTTTAACATTACCACCCCTTTTTACTGCCTCTCATCTATTTTTTAAACACCTTTGAGTTCATAACTATTGTTATACTCTGTTGAAGCTACTTTGCTACTAATATTAATACTCCTTGTCTTTGTGTGCATTGTACCTCCTAAAATTCAGTCTTATGTTACCTTTGTACATATCAATTTCCATTGTGCCGTCTTAACTGTATTGTACCTTGTATGGTGCTAAATAAAGAATTTAAAAAAAAAAAAAAAACAAGCTATGTATTAGGTTTGACAGTCTCCAGTTAATAACACTCCCTACAACGATTCAGCAAGTAGGTCCACCTATAATGTTCAGATGTGAACAGGGCCTTACTGCTTATCAGAGTATTGTATGAAGAGCTATAAGAGAGTCAGCTGTCCTCCTCTACAAACCAAGCACTACATGTGCTTAAAGTGGTTGTTAAGGCTGCATGCATGAAGGTATAAAAACCTTCTATATGCTGCTCCCCCCCACAGCCCCACTAATACTTATCTGCGCTTGATCTCAATCCAGCGCTGTGCACAGGAGCCACATCTTTCCCGAGTCTTATCTCTTCATTGGCTGAGACACAGCAGAGGGAGCCACAGCTAGTGATTAGTGAGCAGAGGGCTGAGCATGCACAATTGCCCCTAGAGCAAGCCACTTGCTTTGCACCTAACACGAGGATTTGCAGCTGGGGGAGGAGCCTAAACATGGCGGCGTCGGAGAGCACGATGTGAGTGCTCTCCGATAACCCACGAGGAGACCACCACCACGAGAGCATTTTAATGCCCGAAGCCCTACCTGAGCGAGGAGGTCCCCAGGGGGAGAGGGTGCCGGCGTGCTGAGGGGAGAAGACGGCGAGTGCGGATGCGGAGCTCCGGGCGGTGTTTGTATCGCGGAGACCTGGGACCAGCTGTCGGGTTGCCGGGGAGACGGAGCAGAGCGGCGTGACCACGCTGGCTAGCCGCAAAGCCGCACTGGGAAACAGAGGCCGGCCGGCCGGTTCCCTGACAAACGCCGGCTCCCTGACAGGAGAACAGAGATGCCGGCTGTAAATCTATAAAATCATCAGCAGCACAGGAGTGGAAGGCGACAGAGCACATAAATCTACAGAAGACCCTGCAGGAATCCCCCAGAGACATTATGAGTGCAGTGGACGGCTGAAGATCTGAGTCGACTCACTGGGTTGAAGGAGGGTGAGTCCATATGTATGATCCCACAATATAATTGTGTAACTTGTTGAACTGTGGGGAAGGACTGCTAACCACCAACAAAGAGAGAAAGGGGATTCCCAGGGGATTGGAAAAGTGAAAACAGAATTGAAAAGGGAAAGAGAAATCAGTTTAAGAGATGGGTAAGAAAATGAATTTTAAAAGTGGCAGAGACTGTTTAATATGTTACTCATTTTAAAGTCCTGCTTTTTTCTTTACTAAGTGCAAAGATATGAAGAATAAAAGCGCTAAAGGAAGTGGGCTTCTGTCACAGACGGGCTCAATTTTAAAAAATTTATTTAATGCGACTCCAGAAAGGGCCTATAGTGGAAATGAAAAGGGGGAAATGGAAACTATGGTAGCCCCAGATTGTAGGTCTGGATAGTAGTAGCCAACAATGGACGAAAACTTAAGGAAAGATCTTGAAAAAGTGTACAAAAGAGAGATTATTTCAAGGACTTGGAATTAAGCAAGAAATTATACGTAGATCTAGGGGTTATAGGGAAATTTTATATTTGTAAATTTTGATTACTTGCAAAAACAACTGCTGTACATGAGAACAGGTCTAGGAGAAACAACTTGAGGATAAGAGGATTCCCTGATATCCTGAAAGGGGGAGAACTGCAAGAAAAAGTCTGTAAAATGTAAACTATATTATGGATAGACCTGAAACAGACGGTAATTAAACTGGATGGAGTCTTTAGATCAGGAAAGCCCCAACAAGGTATCGGGAAGGAAAAATCAAGAGATTTTGTTCACTGCAAAATCATGGAGATTGATTTTTCTCACTAGGGACAAACTCCTTCAGGGAGGGCCCCCATAGAGCAATGACGGTGACCCCGCCCTGGATTTGTTAAGCTACCTGGAATTGCAGAGAATATTGAGATTATAGGTATTCACCAGATACCATCCCTATGGCTTTATGTTGCCTGCCTGAATAGGAGTTGTAGTGATGGAGTTATTGGGATAGAGTAGTATTTTTTTTTTTTTTTTTTTTTTTTTTTTTCTCTTGTCCCTGCTTTCTCCCCAAAGTGTCCCGTTAAGGTTAAAAAATTTTAAGGAAATTGGTTGGTGGGTAAGTTACATGGGAGGGTTCAACCCCAAGGTTTAAACAAAAAATCAAAGGTGGTATCTTATTGTTGAACTGGGAGGGGAGGGGGGAAGAGACAATAAAAGGTATTGGGTTAATACCAGGACAGAAACAGATAAAAAAAAATGGAGTTAATAAGGGAATGATGAAGAAATACAGTTTATAAAACGTATAATGTGAACGGGCTGATATTTGTTTTAGGTTATGAGTTAATCAAGACGTCCTTTTACCTGTTTGAAGGAAATGTGAAATTGTTACCCAATATGACTATGTAAGAAAAAAGAGCAAAACAATTTATGCTTGGTGACTGTGCTTTAGATAAATGAAGGGCTGAAATTATGCGGCAGTACGACTGAGGAATGAAATTTTCGTGCAAAAGGATAATACCTCTTCTGTGCAAAAGAGAGGGGAGTAGATCTCTAAGCTTTGAAAAAGTGATGCTTGAATATCAACAAGACATGGAGAATAAGATATCAGAGACTATACTTTCTTCTCTAATGCACACCGAGATATATGATTGCATTAGATCATTTTGACAATTGCTCCAGGTCGTAATGAAAATTTGCTGAGATAAAATGAGGCAACATATCTTGAGATGTAGTTCAGAAAATTGAGAAAAGATTAAGCATTCGAAAACTCAGGAAGTAATTACAGTACTAAAAAATTAATCCTCATCTTTGAAATATGTAAGCAGGGGCTAGAGAGGTTTGATGGATGAGGAGAAGAGAAGAGTATACAACAGGGTTTTGAATGAGAGATATAGATGGGGAGACAGACCAGGAAGATATCTAATGAGAGCTTTGAATAAAAAGAAAAATAGGAACTATATAGAAAAAGATAAAAAGTTCAAAGTAAACAAAGTCCAAATGAAAGAGAGATTCCAGTGGTACACAATTGATTTATAATATTGCCCCCAAGGCCCCCTAAAAGAACTTTAAAACATTTTTTGTTCATACTGTGAAGCAAGTTTAATTCCCAGGGAAATTTGCATTAAAAAGCACAGGGGAGGAAAAAAGCCCAGGCCCAGAAGAAATGTTTTCACATAAAATTTAGTAAAGTAACTGTTACCCAAGTTGGAGAAATATATGAAAGGCGGATGGAAGATGAGAGAGAATCCCTACAGGCCCATGTGTACTTATTCAAAGGAGGGAAAGGATCCATCTCAGTGCTCCAGCTATAGAACCTAATCTCATTATTGATACTGACACTAAATGTATGCAAAAGTGTTAGCAAACAGGTTGAATGAAAAGGAGAGAAAGTAGAGACTAACGGCTTGAGCCAAAGAACCCCTTTCAGAAAAAGTTGTCAGCCCTTTGCTCCCAAACACAAATGCAGAAAGGATTTTAACAATGATGGACAAAATTAAAACCATTAACTAAAGTAAATATTTCCTCCCCTACTGCAACAACATTTTAAAAAAATGTTTATTTAGCTGCCCTGGAAGGCTATATGTATTATAAGGTCAATAATAAGAAAAGTGGATCAGAAATTGTGAATCCATGGCAGAGCTGGTACTGTTCTATGTGGGGAATCCCCGAAAAATTCAATATAATGAAAGATTAATGCACAAATTTTTTTCCCGAAAACAGAAAATAGATCCACCGTGAACAAAGAAAAATTACAAAAAATTTCGAGTGCTCAGGATTGTGTGTGTAAATTGGGGTAAAAAGACTAGGGATAGGAGAGAAACGGGTTCTTGACCATAGGTTTTTTTCAAGCGTGTTGTGAAGAATAAAAAACCTTAGGGCAGGGAGCTCATTCAAAAAAATTGGACCTGAATTGTAAAGAGGGCAATTTGACAGTGTCTGCTTATAGCCTACCACCCCAGTTTGGGTACTCAGCTTTAAATGTTCATGCTCTTTTTCTGCCTCTTCACTTTACTAGCTAATTAAGCCAGATTGTTTAAGGAGGACACCCAACTGAGCGGGGGAATTAACCTCAGATATTTTTAATTGATCAACTTGAAATGTTTTATTGGAAATCTACCGAAACCCCTGAGAATAAAAAGGAAGTGGAAATAGCGGAAAGGTTGTTAGAGAAACGTAGGGTGGGAAACTATTACTAAAATGGAATATAACACTTCTGACACTAAACACAAAGTAAATTTTTATCACAAAATGGAAAGGAAGGTAGTTTGATGTAGGATAAAGAAGTATAACTAATTTAGTATGAGGTGGTGTGTAAAAAACGATATACACCAAGTGTAAACTTTCACTTTGCGCTGATGGACAGAAAACAGTGAAACTGTATCTGGTGTCAGTCAAATTGAATAAAAAAATGCGAATAACTGAAATTAAGGGTTGGCCATACACAATGGAGACATCAGTAAATTTTGTCTGGAAAAAAAAAACTTTTTCTTCAGCCAGTTTTGGCGGGAAAGCTGTACAAAAGGAGGAAAAAACTGGATTAATAAATAAAAAAACGATTCTCGCAGGAAGAATAGAGATGAACATTTGAAAAGGAGATACAAAAAAAAAGAGAAATAAGGAAAAAAAAAAAAAAAAGGATGTTCCTCCCTGCTAAAAACTATAGTGGTATTCTGACAAAGAATTAAGAGAACTATATAAATCCCTTGCTGTCAGAGTAAAAAAAAGAAAAAAAAAAGCCACTTGCTTTGCAGATAAGGGAAGGGGGGCCAGGCAGTGGACATGAGAAGAGAAGGATCGGGGCTGCTCTGTAAAAAAAAATCATTACACAGAGCATGGACATGTTTGAGTTTTTTTTTCGTTACCACCATTTTTTTAAACCCCAAGCCTTTAATATGTTTTTAAGCTTGTCCGTTTTTGCTTGGTGTTACTCATTTTTGTCTGTTTTTTTTTCTTTTTCCTCTGCAGGCACCAGTTTGTAGAAAATAATTTTAAAATCCTAAAAATGGGTCCTAGATAAACGAAAGGTAAAGATTATTTAAGGAATTTTATAGAGGTTATAGTGGGAAAAAATTTTTTATGTATATTTTCTTACTTTATCCTGTCAGGACAAAAAATGATGGGATTCTCTTCTGGCAATGCTTTTCTACCACCCTTTTGCACCCTTGTTTTCTCACTAGGGACAAACTCCTTCAGGGGGGCCCCCATGCAATGACGGTGACCCCGCCCTGGATTTGTGGCTACCTTTTATTGATTATCACCAGATACCATCCCTATGGCTTTATGTTGCCTGATATTGACTATCATGCATATGTTTTTTTGCTGGGTTCTTGTAAACTATTGCGTGGGTAAATTTTATGGGCACCGTCTTGTTATTGTAACTACAAAAAAACCATAGAAACTAATTAAATGGGATGTTTTATTACACGTCCCTTTTCCTGTTTGAAGAAAAGATGTTAATGAATGTCAACATAATTTATGCTTGGTGACTGTGCTTTAGAAATGGGGGAAATATGCGGCAGACGGTTTCGTGCATATACTACTTCTTCTTACAGCATGAGCAGAGATATCCTAAAACAGCCTGGGCCTTTGTATTGCATTAGATTGATTTGTAATTATTTGCTGATGTGGCAACATATCTGGGAGAAAGATTCACTCATGTTCAGTACTAAAAAATTAATCCTCATCTTTGTATGTGCAGGGGCTGTTTGCTCGCCGACGTCAGCTGCTTCTTACAGAGGGTCCACACCTCTATTATGTGGATCCAGTAAACAAAGTCCTGAAAGGAGAGATTCCATGGTCACAGGAACTGCGCCCAGAGGCCAAGAACTTTTAAAACATTTTTTGTTCTATACTGTAAGTTTAATTGGAATTTATGGCAGAAGAAATGTTTTCACATAAAATGTAAGCGGACCTTCCATGGAAAAAGGTCCCCTTTCTTGTCAGCCCTTTGCTCCCAAACACAAATGATTTTAACAAGCCATTAACCAAGTAACTGTTTCCTCCCCAACAACATTTTAAAAAAATGTTTATTTATGCTTCTGGAAGGCTAAGGCTACATCAGTGTGCCTCCTGGCAGAGCTGGTACTCCAAATTCTGCATTAATGCACTTTTTCCCACCGTGGAATTTTGAGTGCCCAGACTGTGTGTGTATTGGGGTGGGGATAGGAGAGAAACGGGGTTCTTGACCAATAGTTTTTTTTCAAGCCTTTTGTGTTTAGGGGCAGGGTTCACACAAAAAATTGGACCTGTTTGTAAAGAGGGCAATTTGACAGTGTCTGCTAATAGCCTACCACCCCAGTTGGGTACTCAGCAGTTCATGCTCTTTTTCTGCCTCTTCACTTTTTAGCTCTAAGCCAGTTGTAAGGCCTGAGCGGGTAACCTCAGGCCTGAACACACTTATGTGGTGAAGCGGTAGACTACTTGGGATGGACTTCTGCCGAAGGAAGGTAGTGTGGATAAAGAAGTAAACTTTTCTGAGGTGGTGGACTATCAGCAGAAAACTTTCACTTTGCGCTGAATGGACAGAATAACAGTGTCTCTGTATCTGGTGTCATTCATGTGATAAGTTGGCCATACATGGTTCAGTTTTGTTTTGTTTTTTCTTCAGCCGGTGGGCTGAACAAAAAAAAACTGAAACGATTTTCTCGCACACATTTGAGGAGTATAAGGGGAATCCTCCCTGCTACAACTATAGTATTCTGACAGCAGAGAGACTCCCTGCTGTCAGAGTACACAGATCAGCATTGCAGCCGTTACCACTTTTCACAATGTTTTTTATTCCTGTCTTTGCCTTCTGGTCCTGATTATGGCTGTACCCTCATTTTGTACTGGAGTCACAATGCCATGACCACCAATTGGGGTCTAGATGAAAAGTTGCTGGTGGGAGGTGACTGACAAACGGACTAATTCACTAAGCTGAGCAAGTGAGCGTGTGGCTTTGTCCTCTCTTACTGTGGTCCTGTGGCAGGTTCAGTCCTCTCAGCTCTGCTGGCTGCTGCCATATCTAGTGCCTCCTTGCATCCTGACAAATGATACTAGGGCCCAACTCCTGTCACATCCATAGTGTACAGTTTTAAATATGACAGTTTGTTAAATTCTTCCAGTCTGTATTCTGGTAGAATTTTCCTGGTTCTGTTACCGTGGCTTAGTGTTAACTGGTTGATTTTTCAACAATTTTTTATTTTAAAACAATATTCTATTTAGATTTTTCAGGTGCTTTTATTGTATGCTTGTGGATATGAGCAACTAAATATATCTGTAAGCATTATCAAATTTTTAACTTTTGCTGTCTTCACTTGCAGCCTAACCGAACATATTACCTGATGGACCCAAGTGGAAATGCTCACAAGTGGTGTAAAAAAGATTCAGGAAGTGTGGCGGCACAGATACCAGAATCACCAAAACAGCAGCATGTAGCATTGCGTCTCTTCCACGTCCTGCAAGCTTCCCTCATGCTGCTAGACTCCCTGATTCAACAGATGAGCTTTACATAGCAGAACAGAAGAGAGAACCCTTCTCCACTCACCCAAGCCACCATCTCTCCGTGACAAATCATACCGTCAGAAATCTACATAGAGTGAAAAAAATAAAAACAAATTACAAAAAAACATGAAGACAAACATGGACATTAATGGAATCCAGGGTTTACCTTGCTTCTTCTCTGTGCTTCTGTTGAGTTACAACATGCATATCGTTGCTGTGGTGATTTTGCTTTTGTGCACACCAGCTCTATATCTTCTGCAACCTAGTGGGTAGGCCTTGTTATGCCAGCTTTAACGTACAGTCGGTAGAAACACAGATCGTCGTACTTGTGCACACATTGACAAACTCATATACTGTAGTCTGTGGGACCTTCCTCTTGCCTATTTTAGTTTTTTTTTTCGGTTTGCCAGTGAAACTAGTTTTTGGTCAGGAAGCTTTACAACCTATACAACGCTGCAAGGTAGAACATAGCAGTCTTGTAATGGTATCCACTACCCGGTGGTGCAAGGAACACCAGTTCTGCTCTTTTTACTTTTTTTTTTTTTATTTTTTTTATAGTGCATTCAGTAAGGTGAGATGTACAATTAGTAAACTTATCGTCACCGGTTCTACGTGGTACTTCTAGTTGTGTTTGTTCAGGAACAGTGCACCTGTCAACACAGAGTTTAAATAACAGCAATCAGGCTGCAGAGGAAATAGTATGTTGACGTAAGCACTGAATATAGAGTTATATACATTTTATATATATATAAATATATATACATATATATTTAATAGTAAAGAAAAGTTATCTGAATTTTTATCCTCAGTCTGGCAGTACCCTTTTTAAAACCTTCACAAGAAAATCATTGTTGCAGGATAATTTACATGGAGTAAAGTATTTTTACGCCACTTTTTAAAGGTCCACACATATGCCCAAAGCTCACATTTCAGCTCTGGGTGGAAGTTGGTAGCATTGATCACGCACATTTCGTACACCCCATAGAGATTTTTGCATTGACATCTCCCTGTCACCATTGGAAGTTTTGGAAGAATAGCACTCTTTGTGTAGTGTGATCTATATTGTAAAATAAGTAAAAACTTCCAGCGGGAAGGGTGAGACCACTTGTACTGACAGCGACAGGTGGGCGGAGCTCGGAACTGGGATGCACAGATCTTGCAGCTCAAGCTAAAAAGCCTATACACCAGTTTCAGGTGGCCTGACCTTTTTAATTAGATTTATTTAAGTAGGCTTAGTTTTATGTGAAAAGGGAAGGATAAGACTGTTCCACTGATTACACTTCAATTTGCCCACAGAAAGTTGTCTTAGCATAGAGCTGTGTTTGCCTGCTGCTATTTCAACCATTTGTTTTTGCTTTTAAAACCATAATTACACAAGGGCCACAAATGCGTTAACAGACCGGTCAGAATTTATGGTACTCGTCATATACCAAACTGGAAGTTCATAAAAGAATTCTGTTTGGTGGTCAAAAACATTTCGTCATTTCTGTAAGAAAGCAAAAGGCCTAATCTGTCATTATATAAGGAACTTAAAAAGCACCTGTTGCATGCACACAGTGGGGCTTCCATTTTGCCGGTCAAGCCAGTACTTTTTATACAGTATAAAAGGTTTATTAGGAACTGGCGACTACTCACAAGGAAATTTGTATTACAGTTCTTGACTGATACTCGTGGAGCAATAACTTATGGCGAATCAATTGCAAGAGTTTTATGTATGAAAGGTCTAATGGAACTGGCTCTGTTCTTCCTCCTAGTAACCAACCAACTTCTATTTCCAGACTGCCCTATCAACAGAAAAAGGAGAAATGGATTGGTTGCAAGGAGGTAAAAATACAGATGTGTATTCAAACATGTCATGCGTCAGGCCTAAAATGCTTGATGCGATTTTCCACATTCAGTAAAAACAATTTGGAAAATCCCCTATTAACCTGCTAGTGATGTCTGGTAGGGAAGTTAAAATCAACTTACACCAGTTACTTGAACCCTTGTTACATCAAGTTGAAGTAAATGTTCACCTTTGTGGCATTTTCTTCCTCTGACCTATTTACTGTACATTCTTCATTCTTTTTTTTCCTTGTTTTGCTGGTTACCATTGGTGATTTATACATTAAGGGGTAACTCCACTTTTGTGGGAAAAAAAATGGCAAATAAAAAAAAAATGAACATAGCATATACAATTGCTACATGAGTCGTAGTGTAATTGAATGTTATTAAAAATTACCTTTCCTTTCAATATGTAGTGCTGTAATTTTCAGTAAAATGCAATGCAATATGGCAGCCTGGAGGTGTTCTGTACACAGATGGTGTACAGAAGACCCCCAAGAAATGTCATTTCCTGCTTGTGTGATTGGCATACTGATTTTCCGAGAAGTCTGCACTAACATGCAAGTCAGATTTTGGGCATCCCCTGCAACAAAAATGCCATTTTGGCGAGATACTCCCAAAGGAAAATCGCATCTAAAGGGATGCAGACCATGCCACCTCTCATTATAACCCTTCAAGTGCAGCGGCTGATTGCTAATTATAAAATCACTCCCATTAGATTCACTTTCCACCTGGACACAGACAAACTGCTATTTCTTCAGAATAACAAAAGTAGGAATCTGCAGCGAAGTTTGTTACGATCTCTGCAATGTACATAGATCGTACAGAGGGGAATGTTGTTTTTTTTTTTTTTTTTTCTTCTCAACAAAAGTGGAGTTACTCTTTAAGGCCTTGTGTGTACAGAACAAACTGTTTTCTAAATTCATGTTAAACCAACGGGGCAATGCAGCTTAGTACATCGCAATGAGGAAACGCCTAATTCCCTTTCTTTAGCTTCAAAGACCAGAATTGGATGGCTGTGGTGGAAAGCAGTTTATCTTTAGACATAATAACCAGATCCCAAGCATTATGGGCACCCAGCTTGTTCTTTACTGATGGTTGGACAGGTACTTTATCTTCAGCTTCACTAGCAGCTAGGTTTTCCACATTTCCTTTTTCTGATTGTGGAATTTCCCTTATAACTTCACTGTGTGTAGGCAACGAATTCACTAGTCTGCTGCGAGGAGGCATTTTGGCAATTAATCTTCTGCCTTGTGCCAATAACATCCTAGTTTTTGGCATTAAAAAATGCTTTCTTGGCGAACGCCTGGACCTCAGAAAAGATGGTGCACCTTTAAAGGACTCTGTTACCTTTCTCAGTCTAGGCTATTAACCTCCACAAAAATCATTTGTAGGCTGAGCCATTTCAACAAGAGTTGTACTCCCAGCCCAGTGGAAGTTAGTAGCGTCTTCTTGGGTAAGACGTAACGTGCGAAGAGAAATATATAGACTGTCATTGCTCAGCTCCATCTGAAAGAGCTAGTTGCATGGCTTCCTATGGTTTTAGTATATTGAGGCAGAAAAGCCATAGTGAAGTCACAACACCCAGTCTTATAAGTAAATCAGAAAAAAAATGAAAGCAAATTGATTGGTTATGACTATTAATTTGTTCTCCACTATAGAGTGCTGCACTTTTACTTCACTTGCCTTCCAGGCAACTAGCATTTTGGGAAGGAGATGTTGGCAGTGGCAGCTGAAATATTTCTCTTGGCTCAGGTTTTCATACGTTTTTGGAAAACAAAGCACCTTTGTAGTGGGGTAAGTGATCCCAGCACTAGGTATTGTCGCTATTATCCACAGCTTCCGACGTGACTGTAAGACTACTCAGGATGGCCAAGCATCTTCCTCCATGAAGCTATGTCTCTTTACAGTAGTAGTATGCCTCTTTAATAGAACGTACATTCTTGCACAGTTACCTGAATGAAGAGAATTATTTCATATGGATTTGGTGACACAGCTAGCAAACAAGTATATATTGAACAAGCATTGGTGGATTGTAGGCATGGTGGATAAAGCCTCTCACAATGACCACAATCTCTAGGTATAACATGGTGTCTGCTAAAATGCCTTGACTGGTGGCAGAGTTTAGTACCTGCTGTATTTAGTAACAGGAATAAAAAGAAAAAGAAAAAAAGCTTGAAGATAGTAGGTTGGCTTTCTTATCAGGTTGGCGGCCGTTGGATATAAATGTTATTTTTCTTCTTATTTTTCCTTCTCTATACCTGGTTTGTAGCTGACTGTAACTGTGATGTACAGGCTAAGCTTAAAACTGAAAAAAAAAAAAATTCTTAAATAATGCAATGATAGGATATTCACTTTTGTATTTTTATTCTTGTATAAGGTTATTTGCTGGCTAAATGTTGGCCTCTAGTTCAGTCTGTGTTATTTAAATTCTAATATATGAATTATTTGAATTGAATTCATGTTCCGGGCCACGTTGTTGTATGTATTGATGTACAGCCATGAATGTGAATAATTATTGTAAACTATATTTTACAACTTTTTTTTCTGGCTTTATTATATAAATTTTCTATTTGGTCGATGATTTAATCATATTTCTCATAATTTAATGAATTTTTGTTTTTTTTCTTCTTTCCAAATATTTGTGCCCCTAGATGTAGTTACTGAATGAGGAATTTTTCACATATGCTCGATTTAGTCTTGTAATAAAAAGCATGTAGGGTTATAGGTGTACAACTTGTCTGTTTGTTTATTTAAAGCGATTCTAAAGGTTCACTTTTTTTTTTTTAAATAACAAATATGTCTACTTACCTACTTTTTGTGCAGTGGTTTTGCACAGAGCAGCCCGGATCCTCCTCTTCTCGGGTCCTTCGCAGGCTCTCCTGGCCCCTCCCTCCTGTTGGGTGCCCCCAGAGCAAGCAGCTTGCTATGGGGGCAATCACTACTCCCTGTGTCCATTCACACATGGAGCCACACCTGGCCCTGCATGAAGGTTAAAAAAAACCTTCAGCCTGTACACGTTCAGGCTGTTGAGATTTAATAGGGAATGATTTCTGGTGTTTGTGAATGAAATATTGCCCATTGAAAGTGTAGCATTGAAGCGGTATTAA